CGTGGCATCTCACGTAACTTACACATTACTAAGGCAAAACATTAGCTACAGATAAAGCTAAAAAATTCATTTTGAGGGATATAAAGTGAGCATATTTTGAAATCTTATTAATTGTTATTAATATTACTATTTTGTCTGGAGATTTTGATAAATTGGTGATGAAATCCATTGAGATTTATTTTCATACTCAATTAGAATAACATGTGGCTGGGGTAGGTTTTTTGGATTCAGTTTATCATATTTGGCTTGATATAAAGTTAGGCAAGCACATATATATTATAAAATGTCTTGTTTAATTATAAGCCCAAAAAAAATAATCTAATATTTGATTTTTTTTTTTTTTTAGAAAACAAAATGGCTTCTAATGTAATTTTCTTTTTTTTTTCTAATACCCCATGGCTTCTAATGGGTGATGAATGTAATTCTTCGAGTATGAAAAACCTCAATTTGGAGGTCGCAGCTATTACTATATTATGTTTGAAATAAATCATGATTTTTTTTTATAATATGGTGAGGATTTTAAAATTAAATGGGGGCACTTAAAAAACATAAATAAAATTATTTTTTGATTAAATTTTAAGATCTTAAGATTTGGGACATTCATGAAGAATTTAATACTATGTATGATAAAGTGATGTGTATTATTAAGCAAATTACAAAAGATGTGCTTGAAGAATCAAAAGGAAGAATAAAAATTGTTTGTGGTGGAAAAATAATTCACAAAAAAAGTTTAAAAAAAAAGTTGGTTTTAAAAGTTAATTTAGATGCAAAAACTTTGAGAATTAGGTGGTCTGAATTTAAGAAAATAATTTATGATGCCGAAAATTCTATTTTTTATGATTCTAATGATAGATTAAATACTAAATAAAGTGTATATTTGTATAAACTAGCCATGCAAAATGATAAGAAAAGTAAAGATTTAGTTCAAGTAAAGTGTATTAAGGATGAAAATTATAGAATAGTTTTCTTATACGAAGATATTCAACATAGGTGGGTGAGATATTTTCTTAAACTTTTTAATAAAACTTTTTAAAATATAATCAACTTAGTGATCCTAAATAATAACAAGTTTATGTTTCTACCATTACATTAGTAAAATGAAAGATGAGGAGAAAAGAAAATGAATTATAAAGAGAAGTAAGACATGATGGTATTTCAATAGAATTGTAAAAGTATTTAGGAGGTCTTAAGAATTCTTAACACACTAAGCCTTTTAATAGTATTTTAAAAGCTAAAAAAGATGTCTCATGAATGGAGAAAGGTTTTAAAGGTTCTATTTTAATAATAAAAGGAATACATAAGGGTGTGTAAATTATAGAGTAATCAAGTTAGTGTGTCATAGACTAAAGTTATGGGAGAGAGTAATTGAATATGTTATGGTGTGATACAAAAATTTCTAAAAACTAATTTGAATTCATGTTGAACAAATCTACTATAGAAGCTATACATTTATGAGATGTTTGACGGAGAAGTATAAAGAGAGTGAGGAGGATCTACATATAAATTTTGCTGATTTAGAATAAACTGATGATAAGGTTTTAAGAGAAGTACACTGGAGAGTTCCAGAAAAAAAGCTTTGATATTCCCCATATTCAATTCATTATGGTATGTATACTAGAGTTGTTACTTATTTTCGAACATAAGAATAATTGACCAAGTATACTTTAGGGGAGGGATTTAAGCCCATATTTTTTCATGCTTTAGTTATGCATGTTCTTATTAAACATTTACCTTGGGATGTACTTTGGTGCATATTTTTTTTCTAATGATATGAATATAATATATATATAATATATATATATATATATACACACATACTTCTTGTGGATTGCAACCTAAGAGAGTTTAGGAAAAAAATGAATTTTGGAGGTCAATTTTAGAGTTTAAAAGCATTCATTTGAGTAGATTTAAAACTTAATATGTGGAATGTAATTTTAGTAATAGTGGATCATGTGGTGCAGTTATAATAATGGGTGATTAAGTCATTAAAAGGAGTGAATGTTTTAGATATCTCAGGTATATTGTTCAAAGTCATGGTGATATAGATGGGGATGGGTGATATAGATGGAAGTCATGGTGATATAGATGGGGATGTTATTAGTAAAATTAAATTTGGATGGTTTAAGAGTAGGAATGCATCATGCCTATTGTGTGATAGAAATGTACCACTTAGACATACATAAAAGAAATTATAAGATCAAGGTGAAACCTAGAATGCTTTATGGTGCAGAATGTTGGCATATAAAAGAGAAGCATAAATTTAAGTTAATAGTTGTTAAGATGAGAATGCTCAAGTGGATGAGTGGATTTAATTTTAGAGATAAAAAATGAAATGAATTCATTTGTTAAAGGGTTAGAGTAGCTCTAATGGAAAATAAGATTAGAGATAGTCATCTTAGATGGTTTGGTCATATTAAATTTTGATCATCTGATGGCGTAATTAGGAGAGTAGATGTTCTAAAGGTAGAGCTAAAAAGACTTAGGCATGTTGTGTAAAAATGATATAAAACTATTAGAATAAAATAAAAATATAACACTCAATATGACACAATGGAGAAGAAGGATTCATGTAGCTAGTCCTGATTAGAGGAATAAAGGCTTATTATTCTTATTGTTGTTGTTGTTTTTTTGTCTGTTGTTATTTTGATGCAACCATATGATCTTACAATTATAGCTTGTGGTATAGTGCATCTACTACCTAATTTATTTTTTTTTAAGATCATATTCTGTCTTATAATTAGAACTTCATATTTTTATAAAAAAAGCCTTTATGTTCTAGGGGTTGAATGATTTATTGCATTAGCTTCCTTATATTTTTTGTATTTGTTATGATGATAAAAGCATTACCTAGTAAGTACTACCGCCATCTCCTTATAGCTTTTGTAAGTGCAAGTAGCTCTCTAGCATATGCTGAAACCTTTTGTATTATTGTTGATAACTTCCGCCTAAAATAAGTACTGTTGTCATCTTCATGTGTTTTGGATGTATATCTCGCTAAAAGCTGTTTCTAAGGAATTAGTTTCTATAATAAAAATTAGGTAAATGTTAGGAAAATCAAATACAGGTAAAGATGATAAGGCTTGTTCAAGGGCTATAAAATAGGTAACTAGAAAACTTCTCTATCTGCTTGATTCATGTAAGGTTTTATCTATAGAAATGTTTTTCCAATTACAATTTATCTTGAAAGAAGCAAAAAATCAATCGATGAAGACTAAATAATCTAACAAAATCAGTTATAATGCATGTTCTTTCTTATTTGATGATGTAATCTATCATCCATTTAGGTTTATGAGTTTCCTTATTTTTTTTTTATTTTGTATTTAGCTTTGGCCACATATCAAATTTTAACCAAAGTATATATAAAGCAAGAGAAACTAAATGAAGAAACCCAAATTTAAATCATGCTAAGAATTAGTTTCTATAATAAAAGGTAGGGAAAAGTTAGGAAAATCAAGTACCCGTAAAGATGACAAGGCTTGTTCAAGGGCTATAAATTAGGTAATTTGGGAAACTCCTCTATTTGCTCGATTCTATTTTATTTATAGAAATGTTGTTCCAATTACAATTTATCTTGCAAGAAGAAAAGAATCAAGCTTTTAAGCCTAAGCCTAAATAATCTAACAAAATCTTATAATGTGTGTTCTTTCTTATTTAATGATGCAATCTATCATCCATTTGGGTTTATCAGTTCCTTTAACTTCTTTGATTTTGTATTTAGCTTCGGCCTCATCAAATTTTAACCAAAATATAAATAAAGCAAGGGAAACTAAATTAAAAAACCCACCCAAATTTAAATCATGGTAAGAATATGATATTTTATTAAAATTATAATACTTTTTTTTAATAAAAATAAAGTAAAGTTTCTCAAACATAAATTACCACTTAAAATCATAATTTTTTGTAAGATAAAAATTTGATTGTTCCAAAAATGTTTACAAAATGTCAAATTGTTTCATGTCTGTCCAGCATTATTGATATTATTTTCTATAATATCCCGCACTCTGGATATTATTTTCTGTCATTAGCTCCTGAAAAATATATATTTATTTCATTGGTACGAAAATCAAAATATGAATTTATTAGAAAAAGGATACATTTACTCCACAAAGTAACAGCATTTAAACACCAGCACAGACTGCGTCGGAAGTGTTTTTTTTTTTCCTGTTGCCACGAAATAATACAAAGAACGCATAAATAATTAGTGTGTTTTATTGCAGCTTTTATTCACAAATTATAGTTATGACTTATGATATGTTGATTTTTTCAAAAAAAAAATATATATATATATAATTCATTTATTCAACAAACAAGGCTTACACATGTGGGAAATTTTCTATTCATCCAACGGCATGATTAGATCAACACTGTTCCGAGATATGAAAATTTACATACATACCCATTATTCTCATGCATTTACATATCTAAGGTCTAAACTTTTATATTTACATTTATAACGCTTTTATATCATAAATCATGAGAAGTATAAAAATTGTGTGATAAGTACGTAAATGCCCCTTTAAGTTAAAATATAAGCTGTGAACTGATGTTTGATAAATCAAATGTGCGGACGACGACATAGATCGCAACATGTCAAGCTACTCATATAACATAAAACACGTAAGTACATTTATTACAAAATACCAACTCCGTAGGCTTAGGAAGCTTTCCTCTTAGTTATGCCTTCACTTTGCTGATTTGATCAAATAAAAATTTACCACAATTACAACAATCACAGAACCAAAAAAAGCATCTTATTCATCATCTGCTTCTTGTCAACAATCTAATCTAATCGGCCAGCAACTAAAAAAACAAAAAATAATCAAAATATTTTGATCAACTTGAATCATAAAATGTTTAAATATACCTTGAGATAAGTATATAAACATAAATATTGTTATAATTATCTGAAAATAAATCTAAAAACTTTTAAGACTCATTCTCACAACTTTTTTGTCAAGATACTCTAACCTAAATTTTCAGACATTACACACAAATAAGATTCGGATTCTCATCACCTTTTCTTAGGAACTGCAACCACCTAAACCGAAGTTAAATCAACAGCTAGATACTAATAAAAAGATCTAACACTATATACCAAACAACCTTCAGATTAATTTGCATGCAAAATATAAAACCCAATTACACACATGAAGCGACTGAAAAAGTTCCCATGCGCGCAGTTTAAGGCTAAGAGATCTCTAATCATGGCGAAGAACCTGTATCAAAGGACTTCCTCCTCACCAAAAGGCAAGTTATCTTGGAAGGATTAGCGTGTGTGTTATCAAGCATACAAAGAACAAAATCCGGTCGATGCAGGGCAAGGCTAAGCCTGTCCTGTCCAACCTCAATCGCACTGGCGTCGAGCAGAACGTGCCATGAGTTGCGGTGAGCTTCAGAGACCCAATGCATGGAGTAGCGCGTCGCCTTCACCTCGGCTGGGTAAGCAAACAAACCCTTTGGGCTGTACTTGCTTTTTCTCCGAAAGTATTGGCTTAGTTGGGATCCCTTGATCCGGAGATCAAGCCAATCGGACGGCGCAGGAATCACCTTTGAGTCCTTGTAACTGGCGAACTCTCGAATGCAGTCGATTTCTTCTTCGATCACCGTCATGTAGTAGTTGTATTTGAAGAAGGGATAGCTCTCGCCGACGAGCATCATGGCGTCCTTATGACCCGGCATGAACAGGACGAGGTAGTCATCATCAGTGAGGCCGCAGTGCTGCAGAACGCGGTTGCGAGCTTGGATCTCGGGGATGGAGATGAAGCTTCCGGGAAAGGATGATTTTTTTGTGAGGATGTCGAGGAGGCGAGAAGGTTCGAGTTGCGTGCGGTTGAGATCGGGGTGGCTGCCGCCGAGGGAAGGGGAAGGGGAGGGGTCACGAGAACCGAGTGGAGATCGACGGCGATCGTCGGGGGAGGGAAGACCGCGCCGGCCGCCGGAGCTGGCGTCGCTGGAGTCGGTGCAGTAGATGGAATACAGATCGGTTTTGTCGCTCTCTTCGATGAGGCCGTGGGAATATTGGGGGTACTTGGCGAGCACATACTGTTCGACGTATTGCATCTCAGTGGGCGTGATCGGGCCCGACCACCTGAGGTCGAGTCCGTGAAGTGTTGACATGGCTTCCGCGACGATGTGGGGCGGGATGAACTCTCTAGGACACACTTTCTGTTTCGTTTCAAAATCAAAATTTTGACAAGTTGTTCGATTGAAAAAGAAGAACACACAAAGAAAAGTAGTTGCTGACCTTAACAACCATGCTGTTCGGTCTGGTGCTGGGAAAAGGCAATTTGGGGATTGAGCTTAGATTTGACTCATCGAATTCCTCCCCTTCCATGACCTGAAACAGGGACAAAGACTGTGCTTTGAGTTATAATACTGGTTACATAGGTGCATGTGTGTGTGCTGCGTGCGAGCGTACCTTAGATTCAGGAAGGAGACGGATCTGAGCTTCGAGATTAGTTCTTCCCATGAAGTGTGGATGCAGAATCTGATGAAAAGGGGAGAGAGTGGGGGAGAAGAGAGCAGGGGAGGAAAAGAAGGGTCTCCTTCGACGCAGCTGCGTGGATTGGGTTGTTTTGGTAAGCAGAATAAAGATATTAGATAATAGTGAGGTCTGCGGAGGAGAACAGCTACGAGGATAGCGACAATAGCAATATATATCGCCGGAGGAAGAATAAATTAATGAAGGGGAGTAAATGTGATGGCTGAATTTATCAAGGCTGTTGCCTGTTGGATGTTCGTTCGAGCTCCAGGCTGGGATCTTGACGAAAGGAATTAGCCTGAATTTTTTTGAGCTTCGTGCTCAGTAAGAATGCTCGAAATGAGCAGAAGAATAATAATATATAGATGGCGTTGAAGGGCAAATGAATCTATTTTCTCTCGTGTTTCGTGTTTTGTGATGCTTGAAGAGATTCGGGTATTTATGGATTAATTATATTTAAATCAAAGTTAATGTAGAATATTGAAAGTTTATTGTTTTGAATTGGTTTAAATTATTTGAAATTTGAAACTTAATTTTTTAAAGTTGCCTAGAAAATTTTATTTATAATTGATGAAGCTAAAAAAAAAAAAAGAATAAATGACAATTGATTAAGATTTATTGCTAAATATGAATTTATTAAGGAACAATTCAATGATATAATTTTTGCTCAGGAAACAAGTGCTTCAGTTCTTACAAAAATATGTGATATTAATTCTCCCCTATTATAATCTTGATATTCATAGCATTGGAAGTTAATGATATTGATGCGTGCTAGAAAATTCACGATGGTAGGGTAATGGACTATCGTCTTAGCGTTGTCAAAAAGTTCAACACACACACAGATAAAAAAAAAAATAAGCGGTGATGACTCCATAATTTTTTACGTGGAAAACCCGCAAGGAAAAACCATGATCAAAGAAGGTCGGAGGTGGTCGTCGGCGGTCGGCGGTGGTCGTCGGCGGAAGTCGGGGGTGGTCGATGACGATCGGTGGGACACTGAGCTACAGTTTCTCCTCAATGCATCAGACTCTCTCTCTCTAGACTTCCCTCCCCTTATGTGAGGGGTGAGAGTCTATTTATAGTGTTCTGGGTGCAATTAATGCAGTAATATTAACCGTTTTGATCGGATGGTCGAGAGTTTCCCTCGATTTAGCGATGTTTAATGGACACTTGAGTTATTAAATGATGTCGGAATTGAGTGATTTTGGGCTCGTTAGATTTGTCTTGTCGAGACACTCGATTCAAGTATAAGCTTGCTAGTGTCGACATTTTATTTGACTTTCCAAATGTGTCCGGAAATCTTGTTTAATGACTTGATTTGGGCTTGATTTGACTTAAATTGTACTAGTTTTTATATCATTACGTCTGTCTCATCTAACTGGTCAGTTTGACTATAAGTTTGCTGAAATCGGAGCTCTGGATGAATTTTTATCAAGATCTAAACATTTCTTGCTCAAAATATCTTTTCGAGATTCATGTCATGTCTCGAGATTCGTATCGAATGATGAATATTTGTTGGTGTCTATCATATATGATGGTACAAAGTAATATAAACGCTGAATAAAATAAGTTGTAATTTTTGCTCGTACAAAATTGTCATTTTATATATTATACTATTTATTTACCACATATTAAAAAGTTATTCTTTGAGATGAATGTATGCAATTTTAAGTTGATGATATTTACTAACATACAAATTAGTTTTATCTGGAAAATTATGTATATAAAAAAATATATACTTATAAATTCAATTATAGCACTTTTAAATTGAAACTCGTCTTATTCAAGTTTTTAAAGTATCAATATTTCTAATTTATGCCGCTAGCACACTTAGATAAAAAAATCAGTCACATAACATTTTATTAATCTTCTGACTAAATTGATCTTGACATTATCAATTTTGATAACAATAACTGACTATACATTTTTCAATTATGAAGATTATTAAAATAATATTACAAAATTATATGAAAGATTTCTCAATTCATTGATAACATATATTAAAAATGATATGACAAAAACATTCGATACAGAATCAATTATTAGTGTAATGATGAAGTATTATGCATAATTTAATATGGGTATTCATAATTATGATATTATAAAAGAATTTTTTTTTTAATTATTCTTAGCTAAATTTTAAATATTTCTTAAAACTAAGCTTTTGAAGCTTAATTTTAATTTCGCCATTTCTCTCTTTAAGTTTTGGTTCTGCCACTAACACAACTACTGACAATAACATCAAACTATTATTTACCTACGACTAAAAGTCAGTAGTCTGAAACAAGCATGCAAGATCACTGCCTCTAAGATGATATCTCATATAAAATTTTTCTTTTAGTTATATTGCCTTATTGCAGTTCAACTTAACCTTTTGTTTAAATGATCCATTATGGTTCTTTATGAACTAATCTCTAAGAAACTATATATGAGTTTATTTTTATCTCTTTTTCCTTGCACTTTAAATATGATTCATTTCTCAAGTAGGAAGTTATTATTCTTCCATAAGTAAATTTGCATCTAACATCCATTTTGATACAGTGTGCATCAATTATGTCACTGAACAAAAATAAAAAAATAGATTACATTGATTATCAGAAGATATCTTTACATGATAGACCACCAAAATAACTACATCACTCTTAAGCAATCACATCACGTGGAAGATCATTGATGAAAATGATCTATACATCTTAAAGCAGTATTCGTAAGCTTTTCTTCCTCTTCTTTCCCCTTATGAATGGTAATCTATAATCATCATCATTTGTTGATATTATGTGATTTCAATGGTTAGTGCAATTATCTTTTAACCCAAAGGAGAACAAGAAACCTCTTCCTTGTTTACCTAAAAACGATGAGGTCATTTAGGAAACTTTTTTCAATTCAAATTGGCAAAGATTAATCACTAAAGAAATTCACCATGCAAGTTTTGAATGAATGTAAAAGAAAGTTGGTTCCCAATGATCATGTTACTTATTTTGAATAAATAATTTCCAATCTTATCATGAATGGCATAATAATATAGTCTCCTCTTTATTAATTTCAATAAGGCAACACTTCAATAGTTCTCTTTTGTTTCTCGGAGAATTATTATCACTTTGACTGACATCTTGTGATTATTTATAATTAAAGATTTATTTGGATTAATGTTCTATATTGTATTTCAGATATTCACCATAACTTGACTTGGGAATTATTTTTTTGTTGCTTTCAAGAAATTTCAAGGTGGGAAGGTATATTTTTTAATTAGGTGTATTAAAGTTTGACAACTGCAAGAAATTTGTTATTTAACTTAATATATATATATATATATACATATATATAATTTTCACTATAACTTTCTAAAATGTTGCTCAAAACCCACATTTATAAAAATATATGTTGCAACTGCCCCAAAATAACTCTAAATTTGCTAATGACCAAAAGCTACTAAATAACTCTTAAACTCATATGAATATGAGATAAGTGTTGAATGAGTCAGTTTAAAGTTTTATATGCATTTCTAGCATGATACTCTCATTGTGCAAGATTTGGAATATTGTGTTATCACTTAAATAGTGCTTACTGACCGCGACTTTATAGATGCTTAAAAATATAAGTATTTAATACTGCTGCTAAAAGAATTAATTCCTCAGCAACTGTACCAAAACTTAATAACAGTTATAGATTCGATAAATATAGATGTAATAAATATTCAATAATTGTAAAGTCACACTTATCAACGCAAGTATACGTATCGCTTAAGTAATATAGGGCTCTAATGGAGTCCTAGATATCGATCCCACAGTGAGTAAGATTAGAAGCTACGAACTGATTTTAAGGCTACGAACTAATATTTTAGAAAATCAATACTTAATCACAACAATATAGTTCAAATTGTTTATTCTGCAGTAATAGACAATTGAAATAAATATGTAATTTTCTTAATAACTCTTAAATAACTAATTATGCTAATGAGGTTTTTAATGTGATGTTCAATATATAAGAAAGCATCATTCTCCTTGTCAAGAAATTATAGTGAATAGATAAAATTAATCAGTTCAATTTGTATTGTGCCGAATAGGAGCATACCTATTCTTTGCCCATTGGTCCAGGCATAAAGAACATTGACTAATCCTACGCTTGTTTACTGAATCTGCGGCTAGGCTGGGAGGATACCAGCTTTCACTTTGGATCTCCCATGTTCCCCTCGCCTGAGGGCTAACACCTACACTTCAACACCCAAACAATAGGACCGAATTGGGGATTTTAGTATGTCACTCTAAGATCTCCAATTCTACTTCTGATAATATTATTTCCTTATTTATTTGCACCCAACTTCCAAGGGCTTTGACCTCCCCGAAATTTGGATGTAATCTTCACTTTAGTTGTAAAACTCAACATATTTTAACAAATTAATTGACCAAACAACAACAACAACAACAACAACAAAGCCTTAATCCCACTATGTGGGGTCGGCTACATGAATCCTTTTTCTCCATTGCGTCCTATTTAGTATCATATTTTCATTTAGTTCTAGTAAATTAAGATCATTTTTAATACAATAAGCCCAAGTCTTCCTAGGTCTACCTCTGTTTTTCTTAACATAAGTCGAATTTAAAACATCTACTCTCCTAATCGGATCATCTAATGGTTGACGCTTAATATGACCAAACCATCTAAGACGACTTTCTCTAATTTTGTCTGTCACAGGAGCTACACCAACCCTATCACGAATATATTCATTCCGCATTTTGTCTCTAAGTGTAAAGCCACTCATCCACCTAATCATTCTCATCTCGTCAACACTTAACTTATTATTATGCTTCTCTTTAAAAGGCCAACATTCAGCGCCATAGAGCATTGCAGGTCTCACCACCATCTTATAAAATTTTCCTTTCAGTCTTAGCGGTACTTCTCTATGTCTATTATGAGTATTAGAAAAAAAAAAATTATATTTTTTCAATTACTATATT